ATTCGCATATTAATATTCATGAATATACATGTATCATTGTATATTCCGACTTTTCCACATATACATATACATATAAATATAGACCCATCGTTGGTGCATCTATATCTGCCTTTTTCATGTCTGTCTACGCATATCCTTATAATCAGCACGTAAGGTGGTGTTCTCAGTATAGTCTTTAGAATAGAATTACTTGCATGTGCAAGTATGAGTATGGGATTTACACAGTTTGGTTAACGTACTGTACGTATTTCTGGTCGATGTAGTTAGTCCCAGTTCAGTAAACGAGTTTTGTTATTATTGATATCAGTATTATTCCTATTCTTATGTTACTATTATTATTATTAATATTATTGTTATTAATATCAATTTTATTGTTTTTCTTGGTATACTTATTCTTAATATTATTTTTATTAATATTCTTATTACTATTCTTATTAATATTCCTATTTTAATTGATATTCTTTTCATTCTTATAATTCTTATTCTTATTGTTATTATTATTCTCATTATTCCTATTATTATTCTTTTTCTTATTATACTACTTATTCTTTTTATTCCTGTTCTCATTATTCTTATTCTTATTATTCTTATTATTCTCATTATTCTCATTCATATTATTCCTATTCTCATTATTCCTATTCTTATATTCTTTCTCTTCTTATACTTCCCATTCTTATTATCCTCATTATTACTACCCCGTTATTCCCCTACAGGCCCTCACTGGCAGTAATGCAGACGATGCAGTGTACATTCACACATCGACTATGGAGAGCACTGGCACGTGTCTGGGCGATTGCGTTGTGGTGTTGGTAGATACTGAGGTGTGTGATCAAGTGGGGTACTATGTGTTTCTGTACATATCTTATAGCGTTGTGGTGGTGGTGGATACTGAGGTGTGTGATCAAGTGGGGTACTATGTGTTTCTGTACATATCTTATAGCGTTGTGGTGGTGGTGGATACTGAGGTGTGTGATCAAGTGGGGCACTATGTGTTTCTGTACATATCTTATTGCGTTGTGGTGGTGGTGGATACTGAGGTGTGTGATCAAGTGGGATACTATGTGTTTCTGTAGATATCTTATTGCTTTGTGGTGGTGGTGGATACTGAGGTGTGTGATCAAGTGGGGTACTATGTGTTTCTGTACATATCTTATAGCGTTGTGGTGGTGGTTAATACTGAGGTGTGTGATCAAGTGGAGTACTATGTGTTTCTGTAGATATCTTATTCCGTTGTGGTGTTGGTTGAGACTGAGGTGTGTGATCAAGTGGGGTACTATGTGTTTCTGTAGATATCTTATTGCGTTGTGGTGTTGGTTGATACTGAGGTGTGTGAACAAGTGGGGTACTATGTGTTTCTGTAGATATCTTTCTAACACTTTGGGGGGTTTTTTTGTGGTCGCGTGACGTCTTTCTGACATGTGTCATTTTTTAGACACGTGACATCTGACACGTTACATCTTTCAGACACGTGACATCTTTCTGACATGTGTGTTTGGTGGTCACATTCATCTTTTGGTTTGTAGGTGAGGGCTGTGGGTACCGCCTGGCCGTCGCAACGGTTTAAGCGTTCAGGTGTGTGGGTGTACGTACGTCTTTGTAGGTAGGTATAAAGCGATGTAGGTACACATTCTATTTTGTAGGTAGGTATAATGAGATGCAGGTATGCATTATATTTTGTAGGTAGGTATAATGCGATGGGGGGGGTTATTTATGAAACCCTAAGGTAGTGTGAGTCATGGACAGGCAATAGAGCATTCACATTAATGAGTGTGTGATTGATCGTGAATAGGGCTACACTCACTCAACAAGCATCTAAAACCCTGAACCCTAAAACCTTAAAAACCCAAAACCCAAAAACCCTATCGAATCACACGCATTGAACGTACACCTGCAGACTACCACATCCTTGACAATAGTAGCAGAACAAACGATCGAGTAGCTATTAACGTACATGCTCGTGTGCCTGAAGTAGTTGGACGCTTGCTATCTGTAGTTAGGTGTTGTTTGAGAGGTTCAGGGTTCAAACCCTGCGCACGAAACCCTAACTCAACCCTGAAACCCTAAGCGGTGTATGTACCTCGAATATTGTCACTCGGTCTACAGCGTGGATACGTCGTCGATATGGAATGTTGAGACTGCCGCTGATTTGATCGGTGCTCCGAGTATATTCTTTTTTATAGCATATAGGTGAATACACGTGCCACATGCACACACACACACACACAAACACACACACGCACACACACACACACATATATATATATATAATATTATATATATATATATATATATATAATACATATACGCACACACACACACACACACACAGACATATATATATATATATATATATATATATCTATACTTGCTACACATATATTGCTAGAATTGATCCTATATTGATTTCTTCTCACACATGTCTTCAATTGACACATTGATAGCATTCGTGATAACTGTGATCCTCATCTATATAAATTTTATCAAGATGTTCGGTACTCAATTGTCATTCGTTATCTCAAAATGCCACAGAATGCTCCATGTCTGACACCTTATTGGCTCGTGCCAACATATCCATTGGTGCGCCTGTGTCCATAGTCCGTTTGGTGGACGCTCTTCCTTTGGTGCAATCGGTATGTATTAACTTTAATAAGAAAATAGGTATGTAGGTGATTGTAAGAAAATAGGTGTGTGTGTGGTTAGAAGAAAATAGGTATCTGGGTGGTTATAAGAAATTAGGTATGTTTTAGTGGGTGGTTATAAGACAATAGGTATGTGGGTGGTTATATGAAAATAGGTATGTGGGTGGTTATAAGAAAATAGGTATGTGGGTGGTTATAAGAAAATATGTGTGTGTCTGGTTATAAGAAAATAGGTATCTGGGTGGATATAAGAACATAGGTATGTTTTAGTGGGTGGTTATAAGAAATTAGGTATGTGGGTGGTTATAAGAAAATAGGCATGTTGTTCTATTTGATATCGTGGGGTTTAGGGGCTTAGGGGTTTTGGGGCTTAGGGGTTTTGGGGTTTAGGGTTTTGGTATTTTAAGGGGTCTAGGACTTTAGGGTTTTAGGGGTTTAGGGGATATCCTGGATACTTGTACTGATGTGGCACGCGCGATAGATGTCTATATTTGAATATATGATTCATAGGTCTGCATTGGAAATGAGCAGGTCTATAAATAAACGACGTCTCATTGGATGATTTTAACACGCATCGCCGAGTATATCAATGAGGGCTGTGAATGTGAATGGAATCGACCTGTATATGAAGACTTGCAACGTCTCACACTAGACCTACACGATTTTTTTTGGTATATATGTGTGTTGTTTCTATGCACCTGAATGGGTCTATACGATCATCTACATGTCTCATCGGTAGGCGCATACGTACTCAGTGTTCATTATTTGATCCCACAGATCCGAGTGACCTTGCCTGTGGCCATTCCTGGGATAGATACTGAGCATGCCCTCTGCTTAATTCAACAGTCTGTAGGTAAGTATATATATATACACACACACACACACGCGCGCACACGCATACACACACACACGCGCACACGCATACACACACACACACACACACACACATATATATATATATCGCACACACACACACGCGTACACGCATACACACACACACACGCACACGCATACACACACATACACACACACACACA